CTCCCCCACCCGCTGCTTCCCACTCAGTCACTGCTGTGCTCCCTCCCCTCATCCTTCTGTCCCCTGCCCATCCCTCCACATTGGTTATATACTTTATACTCTGCCCCCTCTCACTCTCCTACCCCTCCCCACTCGGTCAATACTCTGCCCCCTCTCACTCACCTACCCCTCCTCACTCGGTCAATACTCTGCCCCCTCTCACTCACCTATCCCTCCCCACTTGGTCAATACTCTGCCCCATCCACCTCTCCCCTCCTCCCATCTGTCCCCTACCCTCTCAGTCACTTATATGCCCATCCCCACACCCATGGCCCTCCCCCTCCACCCATTCACTCATAACTATCTCCTCCCCCTCCCCCCCACCTCACTCATAACTATCCTCTTCCTCCACCCATGACACCATCCCCTTCCCCACCCACCCCTCCCCCACTCACTCACAATTCTACACTCCCCCTCCCCCCCAACTACAATTCTACCCCCACTCACTCGTGACTCTATCCTCTCACAGAACCAATGCTGGGACTGAGCTTCGACGTGAGTGGACGCTATCTGGTCTCAGCGGGAGGTAAACATATCCAGATCCTTCACAACGTGACGGGTTACCACGCGACAATCGCAGAGTTGGAAGAGAAACTCCGCACGGCCACGGGGCCCGGAATGAAGGAACGTATTCAGCAACAGCTTACAGACGCCAGGTCAGTAGCTCAAGGTCAGGGAGGGGGAAAGGGCAGTAGTTACAGTTTTCCAATTTTTGTCTTTATCTGCCGTTGCGATCTATTGTTTGGCTTCTTCTATTTTGTTCCTCAAAATAATTCTAGTAAAAAAAGGAGATAAAGGCACACACTGGTGACTTATTTTAAACAGTTATACAGTGAAAGAACTGTAGAACTCCATATGGTTTTTTGAAAGAAAGGCATGTCCACTGTTTTCTTGCGGTGACTGTGTCCATACGACCTTGTGAAAGAAAGGCATAATTTCTCTCTCATTGATTGCTGCCCTATGTCACCATGTAATCTTCTTTTATCCTTGTGGAAATATACTTTACAGGGGTTCTCATTATGAAGTGAATAAAAAGACTGAGCTTCACTGCCCTTACAACTTCTCCACTGCCTGCCAGTGAAAGAAAGAATTTCGTAGAAGTTTTACATTCTTTGTCATAAATGTTTAAACGGTAATGCACCACAGTATTTAAAAGAATTGCTGACCCCGTACATTTCTTCAAGACAGCTGTGGTCGTCAACTGACACCGCTACATTAATTTAAGAGCACCCAATAATGTAATTCTTTTTCACTTCAGCGAATGTGATTTTCTGTGTCTGTGTACTGTCGGCTTTAAATGATGGACTGTGCTCAGAGCTTGTTCCCTAATGGGATAGAATGTTATAGAGAGACTATTTTTAAAAAAAATTATTATCATGATAATTAATTTCAACTATTGGCGACTGCTGTTAGCTTTTTCCACTGCTCTGTATCAGTGTCTGTTTAATGGTAATGGGTGGGAGGAGGGCGCTATAGGTAGGTTCTACTTTTTTTTCTTTTCTCTCTGTTGTTTCTATCTGTCTGTCTTACTTTTTACTTGCACCTGTGTCGACGTGTTTTTCTTTACTCACACTCATTAAATCAGTGCTTGCCAAGCTTGGTGATATAGCACCCATGTCGTGACTGGTGTTATTGAATGCCCCTCTTGGAAATACACATTAGTGGGCTGTTTGAAAATCGTAGCCTCTTAAATGTGGTAGAAGTGGGCGCTGGCTATAAAAAGATTGACAAGCACTGTGTTAGATACTGGTGTGAACTCTCGATATAAAGAAGAATGAGAGTGCAGAATGTTAACCATGATATATTTTCCTCTTTCTTTTGCAGGGCAGCCATCGACAGCATTTTGACCCCATCCAATGGTCACACCGGAGGCAAATAGGCTATTGTTGCTCATGGTGTGGTGGTCAGTGAATGCTGGATCAGTGATGTATGGTTTGGAAGTTGCTGTTGCCATGGAGACCTGTGGTTACAGTTTTGTTGTTGCTGCTGTGTTCAATGACAAAGCATTCATTTTGACGTGACAACTTTGCTTCATCTGGTTGGAACAAGGAAAGAGAACTTGTGAAGACTGTACAGTAGTACAGGGGGGAAAATGGTCAAGCCACTTTTTGATAACTTTTCAGAAGTCTCCATTTTTTAAAGTTTAGAACCTTATATAGTGGAGTCTGCTTTGACCATATGTGGTACTGACTCATGTTTTAATGATTGGAGTTTCGGGATTCCAAAGTGATTTATGCCAAAGCCAAAAAAAATTGGAGTCAGTACAAGATGTCACACAGCTCACAATATGCACCCTGTGTGTCATGAAGCCTCCATAGGGTTCAATAACTCAAAGTAATAAAAACTGACTCAGCCGGCTTGTTTTCCCCTGTAGCCTCTGGGTGCTTTTTACTACTAGTGCCTGTCATATCGCGACTAGTGCTATCATTTATGCGTTTTAAAGTGGAAACTTTGAATTTGAATGTTGTGCATAAATGTGCGTTGCCTTTTGTGTGTGTGTATGCTGAGAAATTTTATCAAAGTTTCAAGTGTGTTTTGAAGGTATCTGGAAATTGCTGTTTTCTTATGTTTGTTCATTTTTTTTCGTTTACAAGGAATCGGAGGATGCTCAAAATAAGGATGAAGGGTGGAAGAAAGATTACCTACTGTAGTTATTATGGTGGCATTCTTAGCGGTTCATTTTATGAATGCTTGTGATGATGAAAATTTTATCTGTGTCCGAGGATTTCTTTATGAGGGGTGGTTAATGGGTGCTCTTGTGTGGTCTGCTCCATCTACTTCTTTCCAGTGACCCGTGCTGACCTTGTTCTGGTAATTTATTTTGGTTTGGATGACCTCCCTCGACCCAGTGCCTCTGCCATTAACACTAATCATAGTAAATTAAAATGCAAATTCACTGTTCTAATGTTTTTTGCAGTTTTGCCCAACACTCAAGTCTAGTCTACTTACTGGCAAAACAGGTGGTTGGAGGGTATCACAGGCTGGTCATACTTGTGTCTGTTCTATCTGGTTTTTCTGTCTGTTTGTATTACTTTTTCCCTGTTTAAATGGCTGTAGTTTGTAATTGTGTCAACGTGCTTCTCTTTATACAATATTAAAGCAAGGAGGAGTAAAGGATACTAATTGTGTTGGCAGAGCTGATAGAAAGAGGTACACAGCCAGTTCCTTCAAGTGTTGTTGGTTGGGGGTTTTTTCCTTGCGATCAAATTTTGACACTAGAGAATATCCACAGAATACGTATGCAGTACGGAAAAATTCCAGGGATAAGGAGCGCTTTTGAACTTTCCATGGATGAAAAGAAAATGATTTACTACGCAATAAATAGTAATCATAATGGCAGAGATTGTTTGCTTTTTGTTATTTTGTTTTTTTAGCTTAAATTTTAGAATTTCCATTTATCAGTCTTTGGTGATAGTCTAGTGTTATTTGTTGTTTTTCACTTTAGCGGGTCAGGGATATGTTCGAGATGTGTAGGCTTTATCAGCATGAAAGGAACTCGGTGTTGGTGGTTTGAGGGGGCCACTAGTAGATCCAGTTTCTTTCTTTTTCCCCTGTTGTTTTTGTCTAATTATCTCACCTTTTCACTTCTCTTTATCACCTTTTTTTTCTAAATTACTATCAGTTTTGAACTATCTTTTAATAAAAGAATGCCTGTGGCTTAAAGTTAAAGTTTAAAATTATATTGTTGTGAAATGACGGCATTTATGAATTTTGTGTTCCGGTTTAGTTGAAGGTCTACCACTTTAAGGTGGTCTACTTTAAGTACCGCATGATCTACCACGGGCATTTCTCAATCGCGATGTTTGGGTGGGTGCATTGCTTCATATTGCTGTGTCGTTTACAACGAAGAATTTTTAGGTGGTAAAGATTATGATTAACAAGTAATTTGTGACAGCAAGTGACCAGACAGGACTATTTTTCAAGAAATCCGGGGGAGGGGGGGCAGCCCCTCTGAACCCCCTCCTCCAACACATAACCCCTCTTCCCCAAGAAACCACGATCAACAGTACATTTTTAATATGGTCAATGACAGTCCTAAGCCTGCATAAACTCGAAGAGAAAAACGTAAACTGATCCTTGTCACAAGTCCGAAAACTGTATAAACTGGCAGACCTTCAACTAAACCAGTTGTCAGAACAGTCCAGATGTAGACCGTCAATTAAATCAGAAACTTCACGATAGACCTTCAACCAAACTAAAAACATCACAGTAGACCTTCAACTAGACCAGAAACATCACAGTAGACCTTCAACTAAACCGGAACCTATAATTATTGCATGCACGCTGTGTTTACTCGTTGGTGCGATGAGTTGTCTGTACACCAGTGGTTCCACAGTGTCTTGACAGATGGGAAACTGGACGTCTTTCTTGTGTCATTTGTTCATGATATTACTGTTAATGTTAATGTCATGTGACATAATAAATAATGAAATTGAACTTTTGCGGGTTCCTTTTCTTATGCTTGCAACAAAAACAAAGAAACTTCTCTTTTCTTTAGTCTGCTCTGGTGCAGTTTGCTTTCTTCTCTCCTTATCTGACATCTATCTTTTTCTTTATCTCTCCTCCTTAACTTTTCATCGTTTGTTACTCTCTGGTAGCCCCTCCAATTTTAGGCACTTACGACGTATTTGTGCTGCAAGTGCCATGGGTAGGCAAGTGCTTTTCTTTCCTCATCCATTAGCCCTAATCACATAAGGCATTCACGTGTGCTGTAAATTTTGAGCTTGTAAAAACTTACTAAAAAAACTAAAACCAAACTGTCCAGAGTCTACTTCTTTCTTTCCTTCCTTCGCTCTAATGAACAGGTCCACGGGTAGTTGAAGGGTGCCACTGGTAGGACCTTCTCGAGGTTATTATTATTAATTCCTTCTGTTGCTTCTGTCTGTCTTTCCTGCCTTTTCCTTTAAAAAAATTAAATGGTCTCTGTCGTGCCTTGTGCTTTATTTGGGTTTTGCACGAAAAATGTCCTATATTTTGCCTTTTAATTGCATATATAAGCTTATTTAGTCTCGTAATTCAGATCTATATAGTTTTTTGTAATAAACCAACAACTTTCATTCTAATCTCGAGAAGTAAAGCTGCACGAGTTACTCCATTATAACCCCCTCTCCCTCTCCCCGTTACGGAAATCAAACTCACATCATCTGCAAGCAATGACCTTCCTCCCTCAACCACCAAGGCAGTGCTACTGACTGAAGTCTTTAGGCCATTCCCAAAAGGGAGAGGGGGTATTAGCGTGATCTTATGTACAGTAGAATTGTAAATAGGCTGATCCGATTTATCAATGTCATGCTCATACTGTGCCGGAATAGCATAGGGGGAACTGCAGCTTTTTCTTTCCTCTTCTTTACTATCGTCATTTTTCCTCTTCTTCTTTTGTATGTTTGTCACTCTCTTGTGAACTGCTATTTCCAGGGTGCCTTGATAGTCGAAGCAGACTTTATGCTGTTGAGGCTAGAGAGGTGAGCAGAGAATTAATAATAAGCCTGATACCCCGTTTGGACTTCTCTGTCGACATCCACCCTTTGGCGCTCGTATTTATGACCTTACGCAGTTGCGAGTGCCGTTAAACCTTACTAAAACAGCAATGACCCTAAACACTGAATCAAAAGACCTACCAACCTACGGCCCTTGCAACACAAGGTCATACAAGTGTCCAAAACTGGAGGTGTTGATTGAAAGTGTCTGCTTCACCACAGCGATACCAGTGATAGATCATAATAATAATAATAATAATAATAATAGATAATAATAGATAGCATTTGTATAGCGCATATCCCCGCTCAACAGCAGGCTCTATGCGC